CATCTTTCCTTTAAATTTCCCTCAGCTCCATTTGTGCCTAAAATCAAAGAAAGAAAAATAAATCAAATATCAAAAGTAAAATACACAAACACCAATATAAACATAAACAAAAAAACAAAAATAAAAGGATTAGCAAAGTTACTAATCCCCGGCAACGGCGCCAAAATTTGATGCGTAAAATTACTTGACACACAAATTAAACCCTCTTTTTGACAATTGTAGTATAGATGTAAGTAGGGTATCGTTCTAGGCCGGGGATTAGGAGGGATTGCTAATCTATTCTAAATTAATTTAAAAATATTAAATAAGACTCAAGGACACAAAATTAGGCTAAAAACTCTAATAACTCGAAACACACTTAAAATGACTCAAAATAATGAAAACAATTAAATTAAACACTAGGAACTGAAATGGACGGAAATTAAATTAAAAGACTAACAATAAAGAAAACTAACTAAATAATATAATTTAATAATGGATGGGTGTTTGGTTTTGATGAAAAGTAAATTAAACTTAATTAAATTACAGAATTGATAAAAACATAAAAAATTAAGGTAAAATGATAAATGACGGACTAGCTAGAGGGTTCTTCTCCACACATGTTATACTTGCATACAAAATGATTTCCAGTTGTTCATTTTAATAAATTGTGAATCTCAATACTCCAGATTAACCGTGAACAGCACTTTTTTAATCTTCAAGTTTTCCTTAAGTTATTGAATTGGACGGGAAAACGCATACAACAATTCAAAACATTCTTCAAAAGTCCCCTACGTGAAAAGCACAATAGAGATACAATCAAAGATCATTAAACTTTGTGAAAACTATAAGCATTGACGAGGCATTCGTAACTATGAAAAGCATGATACTCTTGCCAAGAATTTACTTAACGTGATTGTGACTAGCAACCTTTACTACTTGTGAAAATAAGTTCATAACGATTAGGTGAAATTCACTTATATTCTAGCATCAAATTCATGCATGTAAATTAAGCGTGCACTCTCAACCAACATACACAAATCAGTTTTTATACGAACGGATAAGTAAATTGAATTCACAACTTATAACTCACAACTGAAGATAATCAATTCATATTACAAATATATTCATGGTTTCGAATTAACCTCTAACCAACATAAATTTAATTACACATTATTAAAAACAGAAATAAAATATGAGTTTGGAAGGATTTAACCGAAAGAGAAGGGTGCTTGCTGCTTCTGTCTGTCTTCCTCCCCGAGGCTCACTGTCTTTCCCGCTCACCTCTGCCCTCACTTCTCGTCCCCGCAGTCCCGTGCTCCTTGCGCCACGTGCTGCAAGGCAGCTTCTCTCTCTCTCGCACCAGCTGCCAAATGGCAGCTCTCATCTTTCTTTTTTTATATATTTTCTTTTTCTCCTTCTGCCGCAAGGCAGCTGTGCTGCCAGCCTTCTGTCCTCCCTTTATTTTCTGCAGCTGTCCTCCTTTGTTCTGCCAGTCAAGCTGCCAAAGGCAGCTTGTGACCTCACCTCATGCTCAAGCTGCCCCGTTTCTTTTTTTATCTTTCCTGCACGCTGCCTTCTGTTTCATTCTTTCCCCTTTCTTCTAATCCGTCCTCCTTGGATCCTTTTAGCTGTCTCTCACTCATCTCTCCACCGCTGCCCAAAAGCAGCTTTCTCCTTTATTCTTCTTTTTTTTTATTTCTGGCCTCACCTCCCCGTAGCTAAGTTGTCCTCCTCTTATTTTCTGTTATGCCACAAAACATGAATCATGATGATGTTTCAAACATCATCATGATTTATTATTATTATTTCTTTTATTAATTTTATGTAAAAGTTGATTTACACAGACAGGTTTAACGAATTTATTACATAAAATTTCACTTGTTCTATTTTTATTTTCTTTGCATAACAAATCCTATAAACACAAAAATAACGTAAATAGCTCAAAAATATAAGGAACTAACTAAGAAAAGACGAGTGAATTCGAAGTAAAAATATATATAAATATGATCCGATCAAGCAGTGGAGCGACAATTAATGGGGTCTGTTTTATCCGAACAAGAGACATGCTTATAGCTCTCTCCCTCTCTCCCACCGTCCCACGTTCTCTCTTACTCTCTTTCTAGATTGTGTTCTGTTTAATTTATTTTTTCATCATTTCGAATGGGATTCGTCTCCAAATAATGCAACATTCTTAGATTTTTTTAAAAAAAATTTTATCCACACATTGTTAGATTTATGTGTTTATCCAGTTTTATGAACTGATGATGGAACTAATCAAGGCTTTTGAGAATTGCTAAGCACCGCATTAAATTATTAATCAAACAATGCTCTTCTATACATCAATCAAGTTCGAAGATTTCAACAACAATATGGCAAAACCGAATTTTATCGTCACGGGATAATTAGCCAATGAAATTAAGTTTAACCTTGACGTAACTAAGTTAGTTAAAATAATATATAGACTTTGATCTACTTCCGAATCCTCTTATCATACTTATATTAAATCTCAAATAAAAAGAAAAAAAACCAATATGCTAAGCTCACCTGAACCAAGGAGATAGTGACACATCCCGATCCTAAAATCAAGGCATGCTGGCCGTCACGTGAGCGTGACGTAGCAAAAAGTGCGACACGGAAGCAAAAGATATGAGAAATAAGAAGGAATTTAAACCAACCACTAGCAGTAATATCCTACTAGCATAAAAGAGTGAGTTATAAAGTAAAACACACGAATTCAGAGCGTAGATACTAGGTGCAGTCAAGTAGGACTATAATTAAGAGTACAACACCCGCAGGTGAGTCCTACATGCAGGACGTCTGTCAGAACGCCGAAAAGAACCTCGTGAGCCACCAACTACTAACTAGAACCTGGAGGGGCGCAAAACAAAGTTGAGTGGGTCAGTAAAACCAAAGATTTCCCAAAACATTTCATTTAAAACATTTCTAACCCCTCACTGTAAAACCTGTAAACTTTCCCAGAAAATAACATAATAGCATAATATTTACTCAAATTGCTCAAGCATCAATTTTATCAAAAACCAGTAATTATGCCAGCAATAATGTCAATGATTAAAAATATGGATGCATCAACATGACAGGTGATATAATGAAATAACCGGAGACCCTACAGTGGTCTGTACGGCTAATTCCAGCTCAATATCCAACCCAGCCGGAGTCACCACGGTGAACTGTACGACACTACTCTGCACGTCACTCGGAACCACGTAAGGTAGTCTGTACGATGAAAAGGTGTAAGAATACGTTCTAGTGCTTCTCTCATCAATCATCGGCGCGCATAAACTAAGGTCACCCACTAGTCGGAATCACCTCTAGCGATCTATACGACTAGCATGTCGGAACCCTCACATGGTCTGTACGACATTCACCTACTTGGATCCAAGGCGAGCGTGCGGTGCGGTGAATAATATAAGCACTAACACCAAGGGTGCAGGTTATGAGCTTTCAATGCAATTCACATAAAATAAATCGTATGAATAACGTAAAACTCACCTGTGCATCCACAACATCAATTCATGTATATATGCATCAATTATCAATTCAAATATCTCATAATATGCATGCATGGCATTTTAAAACATATTTTCATATAAATCCAATTTATGGGAAATTAATAGTACATAGGTATATACGAAAACAAAAACTGCCCACTCACTGGTAAGTCGATGGGTCGTAACCCCCGTGACGTCCCTGGATGCTCTCGTCCTCGGGATAGGTGTCACCTATATGCGAAACAACTATAGAAACGTTAATTAAAACACATAACTAACAATTCGAAATAACTTCTCATACGGTGCTCAATTTTGATATGTGAATATACCACATCGACCTACTCGACGTCACGGACGTCGACAATTTTTTAGAAAATTTTTTAAATCTGCCACGCGCCCCCACGCGCCGTGGGTGGCATGGACCTACGCGTCCCCACGCGCGCTTCTTCTTCCTCGCGTCGCCGGCGCAGTGTCACCGGCGCCGGAAACCTGCAACTCAACCTTTCTCCCTCGTTTCTTCACCATTTTTCATGAAATTTTCACCTACGAGTTCTAAATTAAGAGGGGAAGGGATCTATACCTTCAAAAACCCTTAAAAACCTCTGAAATTTCGTCGGGAAAATCCTCCAATTCGGCCAACTTCGAACCGGACGATCTTGACGTCCAAAACCTTCAAATGAAGCACTCCAAGCTTTCTTGGGACCTCACTAAGCTTACTATGAGCTTAGAATTTCCTGAAATGCAAGATTTTACGTGTGCATGAACAGTGCACCATTTCGGGGGTTAGGGTTTCACAACGATTCAGAGGGTTTCACTTCCTAAAACTAGTACCATTCAACTCAGAACGTCAAAAGGATGAAGAACCATACCTCATTAGCTTCGATCCGTGATGTTTAGAGGGTCCTTGGGTGTGGCCGTACAATTTGAGAGGGAGAGAGTGAGAGAGAGCCGTGAGGGAGGAGAGAGAGAGAGACACGGGGTGAGTGAGGGAGAAGGAAGTGTGTGTGTGTGTGGTCCACCCTAACCTTAACCACACAAATAACAACCATTGAATTAATAAAATTGTCCAAACTTTGGAAAATAAACATTATGAATATAGTATATCACACACCCACCTTAGTAACATCGAGGGCAGCATCGTCATTTCACGTCCTCGTTATATATTCCCGGAACGGGCTATGACAAATAGGATCCTTGTTGGATCATTTTTGTGAGAATTCCGGAGATCCTTTAATTCTATCATTTTATCGTACATCATAAATAATTTTAAATTATATTATTTAAAATAGAATTCAAACAGTATCTAACGAAAACTAACCGTATAATATATGATGAAATGACAAGATTAAAGGATTCTCGTATCCTGACAAAGATGATCCTATCTCCAAACCAAGACAAGCAAAAGCCAAACACAAATTAGCTTTCCCGCATCCAACGATCCAAAAGTCGTCTATGACATCCGACGATCTAAAACTCATCACACTATACTCATCGTAAGTTGGAAGAACATGGAGCCAGCCAGTAAACCTAGGACCAAAATGGCGGGAACAAGCACTTCTTAGCGGGAAAACCCAACGACCTCACTTAAAAGCGCGGGAAGCCGATCCCAACCGCCACATCGAGAGAGTGACTGAGAGAGAATTCAGAGAGAGAGAGAGAGAGAAACAGATATGGTGGGAGTAGCGTACGACTGTCTGGCGAACCCTCTCGGAGCGGTCCGGTCCACTTTCGAGAAGGCGATTGCTTCGGGATCCGACCCGGCCTCCTTCGACGGCCGGGACTGGGGAGCCGTCGATCTCTTCCGCAACTTCCTCTACGATGATGGCGGCCTCTCTCAGGTCTGAACCCAAACCCTACACCCTCAATTTCTATGCTTTTTGATTTGGGCTCATTTAATTGCCCTTGACAACCCTAATTCTGTATCATTTTCCCTCTTTTAATCTCTTGATTTTAGCTTCTCTGTGAAATGTCAATTAAAATTTGAAAATTTATTGCTCGTGAAAATTTAGGTACCAATTTTGAATTCTGCAAGCATAAGATGGGTTCAGCCCAACACACTCGTTCGATTTCGAGGAATGATACAAGACATGTTGGGAAATGAATTCTATGTCGGTGCTTATAAGGTAGCTTGTCTTATGCTCTCTGAGCATTTTTCTGTCTGTGCAACATAGGATTATTAGTTTATTTAGTTGCCACGAAAATAATGCCTGGTTGGTATTGAAGGATGGCTCTGTTTGGAGGACCAACAAGTTCACGGATGTTCCTCAATTCCCCGTGGATTCCACGCCGGATATGCGGTTATGGGAACGCCGTATGCTCTACTGCACCCCGGTGAGTGAGACTGTAATCAAACTCTTAGCACATACTTATATGCTTAGTGTTGGTGGCTGTGTTTGAATTTTTATTTTGTTAGGGTAATGACATTCCTTGAATTTTAAATGTCCTGCTAGAATTTTCAGTTTGGATGCGTGGAATTAACATTGTGGCTCATTCGGTGATATGAGTTTTCTTGTGTTGTTGTTTTGTATTTGTGTTTAGGTGCCGGGACAGAATTCATGGGCCGAATCTTCTAACGCGGTGATGTATGCAAGTATGGAATCAGGAACCCAACAAAAAGAGAAGCGCCCGAGAGTGGATGCTGAAGCTACTGATAACATGGATTACGATGTAATTTTCATTCTCATAATCTGTGTAGTGAAAGGTTAATCGTGTTTTAAGTAGAAAAGGCTAACTGCATTACAATGCAAAATCGCCTTATCACCATCTTTGTGCTTTAACTTAGTTATATGAATTTAGGAAGTTTTCCTTAGCAATTGAGTAGGTAGATCTCTGCAAGGGTCAGGTTTTAGATAATTGGATTGTCATAATTTGCTTGATAGGCTATTCGTCATGCTTGGTTTATTTTGGGACTTCATGAGTTGACAATTTTTAATTCTGTCGGTATATCTCATCTCTCAAGTGAAGTGTCCTTCAGCTATGTATCGGAAAGATGTCATCTTGTTTGTGTACCTGACATACTGCATTAAATGACAGGTCTCGGATAATGGGATTGAAGGTTCTCCTTCTACCAAAAAGCTGGTATGTAGGACCAATTTTATTAATTGAATAAAAACATTAGCTTTCGATTCTAATGAAACAAAAACTCATCCTTGCTAAATATCTTCACCTTTTCCAGAAAGAAAATGGACATTCTACTCAGCAGTCAATTACTGAGGGCACCAGCTCTGGTATGATTATGGCACCTGATGTTAACAGTGGTTCACTTCCTTGTCTTATTAAGGTACATTGGACAATTTATTATGCCAATAGAAAAGTTATGTACCGAGATTTATTCTCTCTTTTCGTGAAAGCTGATGAAACTCTTGTATGCTATCAGATTTACGATTGTTTAGAGTCTGACTTAAAGCTAAACGAGGTTTTTGAGTTTGTTGGAGTCTTCACTTTCGATTCAGAGTTTAAAGAGGACAAAGATGAATCAGATGATTTCACGAATGGTTTTAGTGAAGATGTGTTGGTTCACTTGCCCCCTAATAAGGTATTGGTTCCGTCTTCCATTGATGAAATTTTTGGTCTTATTCTTGTATGTGTTGTTCTGTACAGCTTGTTAGCATTCAGTGTTGGACTATTAGTACATTCAATTTTATATTTTTTCACAATTTTCCCTTGTTTCAGGTACCACGTCTCCACTGTTTTATTCACAGGAAACTTGCAGTTCACGACTTCCTTCCGTGTTCCCCTACAAACGAGGTGATTTTGTGCTCATTATTGTCTCATATTTCATCAAAGGACTTGTATAGTCTGCGTGTGTTTCTGCCAACCTGGGATATCTAAATTCCCCCTGTTTCACATTCTTACTTTAATTACTTGTGATATGTGCTGACAATGCTATTACTGTCTATCTTATAGCCAAAGCCGAACTTGGTGAAAGAGATCAGGGAAGCTCTCTTGAGGCATCTTACAGCTGTTCTTGGCAATGATGGTATAGCTGCTAATTTCATGCTGTTGCATCTCTTGTCCATGGTAAACGGTCCTTCTCATATCTAAATATTCAGTGTTGGATCCACTTGATGATACTTTTACGTTATTTTTGTTCATCGTGTCTTATCTCAATCCCTTAAATGACCTCTCTTCTCATCTCCTTTACTTATGAGGTATATGATTTGATCTGCTTTTCACAGGTGTATTCAAGAGCTGGAACTGTTGCTGTGGGGAAGCTTTCACTAAATCTTACTTGTTTAAGCAGAGAAAGTGCGCCTGTGTTTGGCACCCAGCTTGGTCTTGCTCTCAAGAATCTTTTACCTTTCACACAATGCATATCCCTAACAGTGGATTATCTCAACACTGCTTCTCTTGCGCCAAGAAAGGATTATGAGACAAGCAGGTAAAGAGATTTTCGATTCTGTAGCTTAGTGTCAATTTTGTATTAGTTTTTAACTTTTCACATTGCTCCAGGCTGATAACCGGAGCCCTGCAGCTGGCTGAGGGTTCACACGTGATATTTGATGAGACCCGGCTGGAAGCTGGCATTCTTAACTCTGTCGGGGTTGAAAATGCAAGATTGCTTAAAACTTTAATAGAGTTGCAAAAGGTGATTTATCTATTCTACTATACATACTTCTATGCGTTTCTTTATGTATTACTGTTTAATGCACTAAGATTGGCAACCTGTGAATTTTGGTAGATTTGTGCCTTATGAGACTATTATTACGTCAGAGTTTATAGCACCGAAATGCACACTAAGGCATGATACTTTTAATTTGTCCTTTTCAGGTGGAATATGATTTCAAGTTCTATAAACTGGACATGCCAGCAGACATCCAAATGCTTGTTCTTTCGGAAGGCAAATCAAACATTTTGCCAGCTGATGTTGTGTTACCTTTCCACCCTTCTTCAGTGGCTTCCGCTGAAGTCACCACAGAAGCACTAGAGGCTTGGAGATGGTACTTGGCTACTCTTAGATCATTGCCACATTCTATTGACTCAGAATTACAGAAGGTAAGAGTTGCTTTGGACAACTTGTTACCCTGAAATTACCTACTCCAATAGAGTTGGGAACTTAGGATTATGAATTTAGTTCAGAAGTGTTTGTTCTCCATGTATGATAATTAATCAATCTGCCTCTGGCTGATGTCGTCGTCTGAAACCTTACAGGTGATAGAAAATGACTTGGTTGCAGCAAGGCAGGAAGATAGGACACTGGGAACCCAAGATTTCAGCAGGTTAGAGACTGAAAGATTTGCGAATTGTTCTTTCTTCTTCGAGATTCGTTAGTCATTCATTATATTCTTGCTTGTGCTTACAGATTGCTGACAATGGGTCGATTGATGTCGATGAGTTTTGGTGAAACCTCCCTATCATTAGAACACTGGCAGATGGTCAAGGAACTCGAGAGGTTACGAAGAGAGAGGCTCAAGTGAATGTAGTATTTACTACTACGATTTGTGTTTGTTAATTACAAGGGTTGATTAACTTGGGTAAATTGTAGCCCATGGCTGTTACCGGCCATCGGTGCGGATGTTTTTGTAAGAAAATATTTGTGCCGTTAATGTTAAAATGCTGGCCAATTTACATCAAATTTCTGTTTGGTTTACTGAATAGTGTCTCTTTAGGTTTTTTGATCGAATGATGATAACACTAACTTTTATTCAAACCTAATATGTTGAGGTGCAAGATTGAATCAACGAAAAGGTTGCACTTAGGTGATCGAAATGTCCTGAGTTTGAGTCGTAGAAACTGTCTTTTTATAAAGCAAGGGTAAAACTGCATACGACAGACATTCCTTTTGATCCTTGCAAATTGGATCGACGATGTTAAAACCGCTAAACACAAGTGTTAACTTCGTTCACCCAACACTATTCAAGTTCCGGCCACAAACGAATTATATTAGTCTATTGCAAAACGTTTTGACAGCCATTCTACCATACAACAATGTAGCTACAGTGCACTATTGCAGTAGAGAGATGTCACGGGCGAGGCATCTTATTTCTCATGTCGGTCACTTTGATTTCAAGCACGTTGCATACCTCTTTATTTATTCCAAAGCCAAAGCTTTTGTATTTGAATATTGTAATAGCATTGAATTACCTGGAAAGCAGTAGAGGAGCAGTAGAGTTGGTCACACGAGCTACACATCTTTTTAGAGAAAGGTTCCCTACTAATACTTTAGTCCACAAAAATATATAGTTTGAAAAAAAATTATTAAGACTCGAAAATAGTTATTTTATAAGAATCGAAATTTTCTCTGGATCTCTGTATTCGGAGACGAAGAACTTGAGATTTAGGCTGTTGAACAAAGAGATTTTCGAAATTTGATTTGTGTGAGATAGATAAGTGGAATGAACTAATGAGAGCTGTATGATTTAAAATAAGTTATCCGAATCTTCAGATTCGTCAATTCCGAACATAGAAATCTAAAAATTATCTCAATTCATTATACAAGTCACATGAAGAATCCACCAACCTAAGTATATATAATAAAGGTGAAAGTACAAATTTGCTCCATCTGGGTTCAGTACCTACTCGGGGTATGAGTAATAAAATCTGCATACCACATCCAACGGTACAAAATGCATCATCATCAAATCGAACGGACACAATCTCCTCACTGTATATATATATATATATATATATTATATTATATTATAGATAGGCCTAGCGGGTGCCAATTAGCCACCTCAGCAATCAGTTGCCTCCTAAAAAAAAAAAAAAAAAAAAAAAAAACCCTCAACTATCCTCTTCCCATCCACGTACAAGGTTGTACCCTTCACCGTTCACCAGACTTTTTGACCGTTTTACTGCCGGAGGAGTCTCAGAATTGACTGCCCTCATATGTCTGGCCAAACTGCCAGTTGCCCGGCGCAACATTGTTGGCGGTGAGAGTTCTGCCGTCGCTGGTGGTGACTTGGAAGGAGAGGCTCTGGCCGTTGAGGTAAGAGTTGCTCTGCCAGTTCTGGCCCCAGTTCCTTGACATGGATTGCCACCCTGTGTTGGAGCCCTTGATCGACACTGAGTGCACATCTCCTGCTCCTCCCACGTTTGTGATCAAAACCAAGTTGAAGTATGAGTGGCCGTTGATTGTGAATCTTACTCCTCCCTTCTTCACACATGAAACCCTACAAATTACCAAACAAAAGCATGTTAATTTCACTGTCTCACAAATTATACTAACTTTCAACGGCAAAAATAAATAAATTATTGGAATGTGACTGTCACACGAGACTTTTTTTCATGTTGCACTTTATATAATCAAGTGACAAAATGTCACTGTGTAACGGGTGTGTATCGCTTTTTTTCTTGTCTCACTTGCCGCGTGACCTGGTCATTAGATGAGTGAGATAGAAAGAAAGAGATTCACACCTCTATAGGTCAATCACGCAGTGTCATGCAGAAAAAGTTAAACGGCATGGCATTGTGGTGATTGGCTTCATATACTTTCATAGTAGCATTTCTGTTGTAAATAAGTTTCCAGGTCACGTGTAAAAATTACCGAGGCAGTTTAAGTAAATGTTTGTTTTTTACCTTCTGAAGGAGACGGGGACAATTCCAGCTCGGTACTGAGCGATTTTCTCGAAAGCAGGCTCAGCCAAATCGAAGTGCTGGAGAGGAGGGTTGCACCAACCACCATTGTCGTTGGACTGAGCAAAGTTAGGAGGGCAGAAGTTGGTGGCGGTGACAATGATGCTGCCGGGGAGGCACCATTTGGGGTCACTATCACATTTCATCTCATAACAAGACCCGCAGCTCAAGCCATCGTTGAAGAGAGCTGTGCTCAGTGCTGCAGTGTTGGTTCCGTACCCTTGACTATACAAGTTTCCATATCCACAAGCACCTCCTGCAATATCCAAATACACAACCCCATCAATATTCATGGTAAAAAATATTTACTATCTCCATCTTGGGTCTTCGGTTTTTTGTCTACAAGTGATATTCTACTTTGAACTAATCTAAGCTACAATAAGACAAATTTAAAGTTGGATCAATGCACATCTGCTCTAGCCAGTGTGACTGCATCCACGAGTTTGGGTTTTACACATTCAAATTCAAGTCACTTTAACTTTACCACATAAAGTTACCCTAAAGTAAAAAAGAAGTGAATTAGACTTACCCATTGTACCAGAGGCATCACCACCACCATAAAATGTGGCATGGCCACCTTCCCATCCACCTCCATTGTCACCAAAAGTACCTTGAAGACATATATTGAGGACAAAGAACAGAAGAGCAATGGTGGAGTGAGAAAGAGTAAAAGCCATTGTTTACGTGTTTAGAGAGAGAAACTAAGGTGAGAGAGAGGCAGAGAGAGGGAGAGAGGAGGAGGAGGAAGTACTGAGTGCAAAGTGAGAGGTGAGTGGTTGCATTGGGATGAATTGGGGGTTTGCTTATATAGGAGAGTTGAAGGCAGTGTGAACAGAAAGAGGCAAGTTTAGGTTTTGGCACCATGTTGATTACCTTTTAGAGAGAGAGAGAGAGAGAGAGAGAGAGAGAGAGAGAGAGAGAGGTAACCACATATAAACAGAGATTCATCATATTTTCAGGTCATATCACAAGAATCCATGTGCACATGGAAATGTTCCAGTTGGACTCACCAACTGCTATTCCCCATGACCCTACCTCCACATGCATTTCTCAACCGTTTTCGTTATTTTAGAAATACTTTTTTCTACTAGTCTACGATTACTTGTAGAAACTGGTAATTTGTTGATTTTCTTCTGAATTTGCCTTGAGTTACGGAAATTAAGTCCGTCAATGTAGAAACTGGTAATTTGTTGATTTTCTTCTGAATTTGCCTTGAGTTACGGAAATTAAGTCCTTCAATTTGGGGTGTTTAGGTTCGATCACAAGTCCAATTTAGTGGCTATAATTTGGGGAGAATCTTAGTTTTCCTGAGTTACGTTCTTGTGTTTATCTCCAGCCGTAGCTTAGACTTGTAATTAAATAGGAGTTGTAAAGTGATTTATTGTGTGAATGTTAAGTCGAGTGAGTAAGAGATTCATTATCATCACTTGTTGAGGTCAAATTAAGCACATCATAATCTCTCATGTTCGTAGAACGAACTCACCGTCAATAAATGGGTAACAAACCGCTTAAACACATCAGATATACAATAAGTTGTAAGGCAGATTTTCTTGTTGGACATATGAATATCAGTATGCAGTCTTTGAAAAGTTAAAACATTTTTTGCACGCCTTGATCCATTAACTGCTAAAAATGCTCAAGAAATGACGTTAACTCATTGCTACCTTTTTCCTTTGATTTGCTTCATAACTTTCTGAAAAATCCGAAAAGATAAGATAAAAGAATCATTTGGAGAATGCAATGAACCAATGCAGAGGATCCACTGGAAAACGAAAATCCGACATAAAAATCATTACCACCTTTGCGAGAAGCTTGAACTATCCCACGTGTGTTGATGATTTGAAGAGATTGGGAATCTATTAAGGATCGTTTGAAAGTATTTTTAAAACAGCTTAAAGTGTTTTTAGTGAAAATGTCTTTAAACATAATTCTTAAAAGTAGATTTTGAAAAACACTTTAAGTGTTTTCTGCAAGAAGCACATATCTAGTAATTCTTCTAAAAAGCACTTAAAGTACTTTTGGAATCCAAATTTAAAGTGACTTTTCTAACATGATATCTTGTTTTTCTTTTGGTTTTTTTCTCCTCATTGGTCGCTCTAGACCCAATTGCAGCACATGGTATTTCGTTGCTCTTGCAAATAAATTATCCAATTTAGGGCTTCTCTCGTCTTCATTTGTTTGGCATGCCACTCCTCCTATAAAGATTCTTCCCCTTCTACAATCAGATTTCTTGGGCATCTCGACATTCAAGTTTGTCTCTCCTTCTTGATGTGTGGTTTCCTTTTTTACCTAACCTTTTTGGATTTTCTTTTTCGTTTGCAACTTGTCTTGCACGTTTTTACTTTTTAGGTTTTATTTTAGAGAGGTTTGGCTTTTGGAACTCAAAGTCTCACCAAGAGCGGTTTCAGTTATTTTAAAAACACTTTCAAATGAGGCCTAAGTATTAGTCAAGTTAATCAAACAACTAAATCTACTAATCTAGTTCTTTCATTAAAACTTTAAATCATTAGAGGTGATTCATCGAATCATTCGGAAAAACCAAAGAGTATATAATTTTCTAGAAAAAATTGTCGGTTGAGATTATGAAATAGAAAAGCATTGTTAAGAAAAGTGAAAATATTATAAAATTAAGAAGACAAAAATGGCAGTTGTGTATGAGTGGATTAATTGTCAACCCAAACAACGCACCCCAATTTGATTTAGGGCTCATCACATATAAAATTATCAACCACACACGTTGTTGCCTTCAATGCGACTAAATTAAGAAAATAAAATAAGATTAGCATGTTACTTGTTGACAATATAACCTAATCATCAAGATTAAGAGAGTGCGTGGATGATAATCATTTTAAAGTAAATGCTTTTTGGCATGTCATGGTGAAAATGGTGGGAGAAGTTTAGTATGGCCGGCGTACATTATTTTATTACCAGACATAATTGAGAGAAACTCATCCAAAACTAGAGCTAAAAACAATTAATGAAGAATGTTATTTTATTTCATAAGTGTACGTGATTTCAGTGTTACTGCATCTGCATGTAAATGAAAAGGCTCTTAATAAATCTTTTTTTCCGAATAAATTTTTTTTTTCTCACTCATTTTATTATTTTATGTTAGCGGTGGAAGCAAGTATTCTTCTTTTTATAATCGAGACTTTAACTATAAAAAAATAATGATAATTTTTTTTAATTGAAAATTTGAATTATATTTGGATGATGAGCCCTACCATGTTACGAGCACATGCAATTCCCGGGCTTGGCGGTCCATTAAATTCATACATCATTTTCAGATGATTTTAGTGATCCTTTTTGGTTTTCTAAGATAATGATAAATAAATATTTGTCCAAAAAAACAAAAGATAATGATAAATAAATAAAACATAGATGAAACTATTAGAGAACTTAAAAGTAAAAAAAATTTGACTACGGCTTGTGGAAGATAAAAGCGAAGGAATAATTTTGAACTTTATACATGCGGCCTCAGATTTGAAAGTCGGAGATCTCAATGTTAAAGATTCAAATTTTTTTAGATAAAAACATAGCGCGAACACTTGATAAGTTTGTCTTCCACCAAACTATGTTGCAGCATATGTTAATGAATATTGATATTTGCCGAAACAATTTGATAAGTGTTATCGAGAGTATTTGTCGAGTATTGTCAACGCAACCTACCAAGTACTACCGAAAATGCTAGCATGCATTACACCTAACACTTAATGGACACAAAAAAATATAATGTAAAATATTCAGAGAGTTTCCAAAAACCTTCACATACTTATTTCTCAAACTTCGAATAGTTTTGGGACCAACTTGGTACTAGTAGTGCATCCGCCACATGAGATAACATCTACTAATGCTGGATAAGAATTTTCCCCTCAACAAAATCATCAAACTTGTCTCTTGTGTAAAGGAATGTTATGGGGATAGATTTGCCGCATCAAAATCTCTAGGATTTGTTATTTCACGTACATTTTTTTCACATATACATTTCCTATTTTGGTTGATGTTGATTAGGCCGGTGCATTAAAGTATTGTGTCCGTCTTTTGTTTTTTTTTTTTTTTTTGGCAAATGATAGATTTTGTTAAATTAGATGTTTGATTAGCTATCGACAAATACTCAACTTATTTCTACCACTATGTCTGCCCCTTTTAACGCAACTTGAGTTTCTCTTCTCATAATAAAAGTAGTTTAAAATAAAATATTATTGTACCGCTAAACTTATCATGATCCGACTCTAAAATACGTTTGAAACCTATATGTTGCCGTCGGGACATCATAACATGAAGAAAAGTAAACTTGATCAAGTGGAAACCACTCCTACAAATACATGAGGAATAGGATTACAACACAACAAAATTTGTCACACATCGAGAAATCACGTCCGGTACGCCCAAGATAAGCACAAAATATAGTATAATTGGAATACTTAAAAATAAGTGAATAAATGGCAATAGTCCAAAGTGAGTGATGCTACACCGAATTCGGTGCAAAGTCAATGTTTATGGCCTCAATGTTAAATATATTTACAAGTTTTTGGTTTTTGGGTTTTGGACCTTTTGGTGTAGCCATGGACTTTGAGGAAGAGAGTTTTTGTAGCTGTGGACTTTGAAAAGGGAGAATATTTTGCAAGCTTTCATTTATTGTATGTGTTTGCCATGCGACTATGACATTTGAGCAATCTATTAAATAGTATTGAGGTAGGTGTTTCTTTCTTCCTCTTTATTAACAATCAAAATGAAAAGAGATCACTCATATATTATATTTTGCAACTTCAAAAACGTCATTCTGCACACTAAATATTGTTCACCATATTCTGCATTACCAACGACTCATAAATGTTATCTTACATTTGTTTTTATAAAAATATTGGAGAAGGTTAGGGTTTAGGGTTTCATTATAAAACCAATTAGTAGTATGGGGAGTAATCCAACTTACTTATAAGTCTATGTAATGTCTCTCCTCCCATCAATGTGGATTCATTCTCAACATGCCCCTCACATGTGTCGAATTTTCGAGCCTAATACGTGGACAACATAACCGGGGTAACATGGGGCATGTGTGGTCGTTGAGCTTCACACGTGAGACAACATGTCCCAATGCCATGAAGAAACTTGAGGTTCCACCATGAAACTAATTGACAAAATGAAAATAGCCCAACTTATTTATAAGTCTATGCAACTTCATAGTCAAATAGTCAAATTGCTAAATAATGACTCTTTTGCAATGTCAATAACCCCGTCTTTTAATAATTCATATACCTTTATCCTTGTTTTCTCTTTTGGACAAAGGTAGAAGGAGCTTGAATTGAGATCTCACAAAAAGGCATGTGGATATTATCCAAATGTTGAGTGTGGAGGACCCATGAAAAGTGCCCTTCACTGGGGTTGTCCAATAATTTAGTCCCCAACTATCCCAATTGCATAAAACTAAGCATCCCAAAAGAAAACAAAGGACCCATTTGCTTATTGGCAACAAGTATTTGAGTGGTCAATTTTTTTAGGGTAGTTATTAACATGGTCTGTCATAGCAGCCACAACTAGTCCCACATGTGTTGCCAACTTCCAATATAGTGCTAAGATTGTTCAAACAAAGAGTCTCCTCCACACCAGGCATGTGCATTTATGTGGATAACTTGTAGTGTAGGCCATTGCAAACCTGGTGACATGTTACCTGTGTCTGGTATTATAAAGCTCTGTTTTTTTTATATAGATCAATGAACTGATAGAATGACGATGACGGGCGACTAGGTCTTAGTCTAGTGATGCTTCTTTTTTCAATACCAAAAGAGGTTCAAAGTTCAACATATGCTACCTATGAATTCTGTTTCAACAGATGCTGCCTGCGATTACCTTTTTCACTTTCCATTTTTCTTCTTTTTTTTTAAATAATCGTAGGCTAATAAGGCCTATAAATCATTTGTTAGAGCCGGAAAAGGAGGAGAAAGTCTTGCGTCTGACAGCAAATATGGCACCACACAAGGGGGTGGGACCATTGATCACATAGACCGCCGTTGGTCCTTTACACCCCAAAAAAGGGTTGGAATGGATCCTTCCAATTGATATTGATAATTACTTGGACTACACTTCACAATTTCGACGGGGGAGTTAAAAATCCGACACAATTTTTCATACCATTGCGATATATCGGAAGTTAAAAATCAGATTGCATTTCTTATCAGGAAAGGAAGAAGAACAAGAAGCATCAATTGTATGTTACATCAAAGCAAGTTAATTTAATTTGAGTGACAAGGGATGGACATAACAACATGGATTCCACAGCACGTCAAATTATCTACGGTTACAAACGAATACACAACACATGGGGGAGAAGGGGGTTCCCCGGCACGAAGAGCTGCATCTCTTAAAATCACATGAGCAACGCGAACGAATGAATTTGGAAATCGATAAGCATTCATCAATAACTCACGACCTAAAGCAGCTACCAAAAATTTTGGGAGCAATCAATTCAAAGAATCAAAGTCCGATAAAACAAGTTTAAACCATACCTTTGGCTGAGGTCAGTCTATGAACAATCCAACAAATAAGGTGGACCTGGGGTAGGTTAGGTTTTAAAATCTTCTGTTGCTTTCGCCGGAAGATATTGAGGGCCCTTCAGGTCTCACTAGATGAGAACCTCTGTTATTGATGTCAAGCCCCTGAAATCGGCCAATAGGATCCTGCTGCGACATGTCTGAGCAGGCATGCAACTGGGATGATGCAAGCATAGGCTGATGGTGAGCAGACATATTAGGCTGGAATTGATGGAACTGTGGCATGTGAATGTTCTGGGAATCCCGTGACCCGGGCTGTGCCTGATTGGAATAGAACGGGGACTGGGAATATGGAAAATGGTGCATACCCAGATTGTATGAATCAGTGTGCGTTATTTGTTCTCCAGTTGCAACCTTGAGCCTCTCAAGTTCTTTCTTCAGTGCATCATTGAGAGCTGTATTATGAGAAAAGTAGCACAAGAGTATCGGTGGTAAGAAATTGCGATAGTACAATTGGGAAACTTAGTTTGAGAACATGGGTAAGACAACCACGCACTTGAAAGTACGGTTAACAGACTCAAGCAAAAGGAGATAACCAAGAGCTTAAAAGCAAATCGGTGAATTGATTGTACTCATGTTTCTGAGAGACCACATCATTAAGCGTACAACAGACGCAAAGGCAGCGGTTACTTTTGAATTTTCAATACCTCAGAGACTCAAAGAGGAGGGTGTTATACTAGTATTTTCTAAATGTGGGATAGCTATCGACTTAGTGCCCTTTAACTGGTATTAACCCCAAAAATAGTGTTGAACCAGCCTGGAACAATATTCAGATGATGATCCATTGTCGTCCACATGCATAAGAAGTAAAACGAGAAAAAAGACTGAAACTGAGATCTACAATGAAAATTAGAAAGCAAAAAATGGGTTGATGACACATACCATCACGTAATTGAGCTTGTTGTTCCATAGCTTGCACTCGAAGCTTAAGCTCTGTGTTCTCAGAAGATAAGCCTGATGTATCTCTCTAGAAAATAACACAAGTAAACAAATAAAAACCTCTCAGAGAGCAATCAGTGAGAACAAGCAATACGCAGGTACTGAGTAAAACGTCAAACATCTCCTAACTACAAGTACTGTAAAACGTCAAAATAATCTCTTTGAGCTGGCATGAAGCTAGAGCATGCCACTCAACTGTATTTGTATAAACTACATTACTATAATCATATACGGCAAGCCATATCAGCATTTCAGTAAGAACCTGGAACAGAGTCAGCTGTGCTGATAGAGTAGTAGCTTCCGTTTGTAGCGTTTGAACTTTTCTTTCAAGTTCTGATATGTACCGGGCCTTCCTCTCTTTTGACCGAGCAGCAGACTGCCGATTTGCCAAAATCCTGGAACAATATGTACATGGTGAACTTTCTTTGAAAACACCACCACGAACTTCACTCAAATAATTAACTTTATAATTATCCAATATATTATAGATACGAGTGTGTCTAGCGGAGTACTTTAAGATAGATGCTATATGCTAAGCTGTATAATGAAGATCTAAGTGTGAAGTATTTGAGATAGAACCTCAGCCTTTTGCCTTCTTATACTTCAAATCTACGTTTTCTTGAGGGGACAGGAGACATGAAAACAACAATGTTCCTACTAAACATCCTAAAGTGTTTGAAAAATCTCGGCAATTTGTTGTAAACTTGGGAATGATGAAAGAAATTATCTTTACGAACCTTTTTTTCTGGATCATTTCGGTGTTACTATTGAACAACCAGCTCATAAATGGTTGTCGAACGTCTCGGTTAAGAAAGATGATATAATCATAATGATTCCTCAGCATTTTTTTATAAAGAATGCTTCTTTAGCATTTATAATTAGGGAAATGATTTCAGCAAATCGCAGATTACGCAGTTTCAGCATCTGTATTAGTTATTTCTTTCTCATCAGCTTAATCATGATTAAGAAAACACAAAACCCTCCAAAGATTTGGTCTTTATTTCTAATCATTATTTCTAAGCTGATCATATCCAACTAAAACGTGAACAATTTTGAGATGCACAAAAATTAGGAACAAACAACGTAAGAGAAACACAATGTCGATAGAAACAGGTTCAAGAAATACCTCTTAGCTCGCTTGGGATCGACGGTCCAGAGCTCAGCGAGCTTATCGGGAGCCATGGCCTTCTTCGCCTCTACGCTATCCAAAGACGCGTCGACAGAGTTGCTATGGCGGTGCCTCGGCCTCGCGCTCATCTCCCCACCAAACCCGCCGCCTCCCTCCTCCTGCATGGAACCGTCGGCATTCTCGGGCTTCACGTCGGAGGGTCCGTCATCGAGTTTGGATCCGAGCTTCTCCATGTCCATGTATGTGCTGAAGATGTCGTCCTCGGAGCCACCCAGCTCCTCGAAGCTGCCGGACGGGTCCTGGAGCAGATCCAGGTCGTCGGGGATCCGGAAATGAACCTCGGATTGGGTTCGACGGTGGTAGGAGCCCCGGAACGGGGCGCTCGGAGTCGTGTCTGGAAACGGCGGCGCCATGCGTGGGTGGTGAGAGTCCTGAGAGCTGGAGCTCGGATCCGGTTTCGGGTTGGCCGGATCTTGCATTCTGTCGAGTCCGGCGCTCAGAGCTCTCTTTCTCTCTCTTCTCTCTCTCTCCCCGGGACCGTACTAAATGCGTTGACAGTGAGTGTTCTTCACTCGAGATCAAGTTGGAGGGACATTTCGGAGCGAAACTGAGAAACGAATGAAACGGCGTCGTAGTCATGTGGATAAGACTGGAGATCGAGATTATACATTTATGATTGTAGCCCAATGGACTCTTAAATATCACCAAATTCAACGGCCCATGTTATGTCGGACTTGATTAAACAAACTTAGAAAATGCTTTGTTTTTATTTTTTTAAATGTCTGCATATTTTTCTTAACATAAGTCTAAAATGATAACATTACAGAATTCATGTTTAAATCACATTGATTTAAAAAAAATAATGAATGCTTCATTAATGAGCGTAAGATAGTAGATAGCGTAAAACTATAAATATCAACGTGAATATAGAAAATTAGGGCATCATCTTTAAGAAGTTTGGTGTGAGATGCTTTGAGAAAAAGCACGAGACAAGCGATAGTGATACTAGTACTAGTACTACACGATGAGACCTTTATGAGTAGGCTCCTACATAACCAATGTGTAAATGTTTCTTCTTCTTTTTTTTCGAAAAAAAAAAAAACAGAGAGAAAATTCATTACAAAGAGGAACCAGTATAAAAGTTTAAACAGGAAGTTCAAAAATAAAGAACTAAAGCAAATGGTAAGCAACAACCCAATACAACTAGGGAGGCCCAGACAAGCTTAAGCTCAGTAAAAGAGATAAAGTAACAAAAGAAAACCCTAATTTCCAACATTGAACAGCAGCCCGCCACACCCGCTTTGTGCGCCATGCTTGCACCAAATCCCAAACCACACACGAACCATATGATTAATCTTGAAACACCAAACCAAATCTAACCCTCGAGATCCAAACTGCCAACAACAACACTTGCAAAGAGAACCAAAGAACGATTTGGGTTCTTTTTATCAGTTACATTCATATGCAAACAACAATTTGGATTTTTTCTACCAGTCACTCTCATATGTTTCTCTATTTTTCTCGTCATACACGACACTAGAATTGAAAATAGATACAGACGAGTGTTGATGTGTGAAGATAGAAACTTTGATAAAGCTTATTTAGGATAGTTCTTACATTGCATGGAATCGACGTGAATTTCAAATGAAATTAAAATACAAAAAGTTGTATTTTTATAAAAAAATATTCTCCAAATAACGTGGTCCAACATTCTTCATCTCATGCGTGAGAAGCTAGCTAGTTTGTTTGGTTAAAGCTGCTCCACATGTTCACCTAATCAATGATGTGAAGAATTGGGTTGGGGGTTGGGGGGGCGGCGCTGGGAAAGTCTGTGTGGTCGTTTAACATGTGTGTGCATGGAAGTTGATGGGAGTGTATGGGCTTAATCAATCCGGGCATATACATACAGGTGTATAGCCCTAGAATTTTGAGGGCCCATTTGGACACATGGACTATAAGTGTGTGGACCCATCCCCGTCCTTAATTCTCCATCCCAAGTCTTTTGTACGACAGCATGAATCATGAGCCACATGATTTTCACGTGCCTCTCACGTGCACTACTCATGGTCACAAGAATCTTGGTAAAATAAACATGTCATTGTCAAAATATGGAAAGAAGAATGGGAATCCAACCCTTCATTTTTTATGAGAAGGTTTCCCCAAATTTGGACTTGACTGAAAAGACTAGAGAATGATTAATGTTGAAACTTTATGATTTACCATTTGAAAAATGTTAGAGTAGATTATCTCAAAGGTAAAACTGTTTATGAATTATCTGTCACGTCATATTTTTTGCATGAAAATTAACGTTAAATAATGAGATAAGAGAGAATCTTCTAAGCATTTGTCTAACAAATTACTGTGGTGACATTTACTAGATGGGTAAAGAAGCCAATTACTTGGTCAAATTTAATGCAATGAGAAGTGATCATATGTCAATGGTTATAATTTGAGTTCCAAATTTTAGTTGGAATTGATTTTCAATGCAAATACGAGCTAACGACATTCGGTTTTCATTTATTGAAGAAGAGTATGATTTTAAATTTTTAATGGACGACAATTGTTAATAGAGAATACGTAATTTAGTCTACAATAAATCATATGAGAATTGACTAAAATTTATCTGTTTCCAATCCACGAACAATGAGAGAGATAATATTGTACCAACTTAACATTAATTAATTAGAAATGGGGGTTAACTTCTTTGAGTATTATTACACAACAAATTGATTGTTAATCGTCTGATAATATGCAACTTGCAAGCAAATGTCGACATTAGCACTAACATTATCTCAACAATTGCTTGTTAACATCGGCTAAGTGTGGAAACAATGATTGGACTTTTCAATAAAAGAAAGAAGAGTGAAGGAGTCGGAGAAGGACTTGGTGCTTGGAATAAGAGCTTTTCTTTCTTTTTAGACCCACAATTAAATTAAGATTAGGTGGGATCAAGGATTTTGGATTCTCTCCAGACCTTAGTATCCGCAGCCAAAGGATCAGAAAATTTGGACATGTCGTTTGTGTGAAAGAAGAATCAGAATCCTTAATTTGTATGAAGAAAACCAACAGAATGAGTTAATAAAAACCGTCAGATTCAATTTAAATTATCCGAATCGTTTGGCCTCTTAACAGTAATCAAATATTTTAACTTTATATTTTGATTACTTTTGCTAATTAAAGCACCACCCTTTCCCTCTACCTTATTCTACACTTTAATCCTCTGCACTGCATGTCACTTCTCTAACCACAATAATGCACACACTGGAATTTGAAAGGACAACCATCTGAATCTCATTTGGCATCCTCCTATCTGTAATCCCCTCAGCCACATACAATCCAAATACTACAAAAACGTCTCTATAACTCATACAAATCTGCAGAAAACACCCAACTCTCTCTCTCTCTCTTTAGAAATGAAAAAGGAAAGGAGAACAAGCTTCAACCTTTGAGCCTCTGAGTTTTCTTAATCTTCATCCATGTCCTTTTAGAGTTTTGGGGTGGTTCTTCTGAGGAAAAAAAGGGTTATCGGGTTATTAGCAAAAGTGATAGTTTACCTTAAAGTTTCAGCCTTTTTAATATTCACCACCTCTTCCCTCATCAGTCTCACAGGCACCATCTATATATGCTTTCTTGAAAGTCCTTTTATCTAATTGGAATCCTTCCAGAAATTACTAGTAACCCTAAAGGCCTCTCTCTCTCTCTCTCTCTCTCTCTCTCTCAGCTAGCTAGAGTGGAGCAGAAAATAAGAGAAAGCTTTGCCCTGTACATGGGGAGGATGAATTCCCTCCTCTCAGTCTCCTTTGTCGTTCGATTTGGCGCCAAAAATCCATGGAGACGTCAAACTCCAAGCTTATTTGCCTAGTTTCACCAAAAAGGTACCATCTTTTGCCTTATCTTCAAGTAGAGGAAATTGGGTTCTCTTAGTTTCGGTGAACTGCTGCAAGCGATATTAGGGGAGAGCGGAAATTGAACTCATAATTTCATGTTGCTTGAGTTTAATGCTCTCAACCAATTATATTGTACGTTTTAATTGACATAAGTGATATTGAAGAGGAGAAAATCGAGCTTGAAACTTCAATAGCACAAAATAAATTCTGTTAACCAACTGAACTACAAGTCGCTGCTCTTAATTTTGGTGAATCGAAGCAACTCTTAAAAGTTCATCAATCAATGGCATCTCTTCATCACCACCGTCCACACCGCCTACTTCTAGAACCAATATCAACGACACCAGCATCACCAGCCAGCGGAAGCAGGACACGTGGCAATCACGCCAATGAATCCAATGGGAGCGGGACACGTGGTGCGTACGCCAATGAAGCCAATTTTGACAGCAACATGGTCATCATCCTGGCAGCCTTGCTGTGCGCTCTGATATTTGCATTGGGACTAAACTCAATAGTCCGGTGTGCGCTGAGATGCAGCAGAAGGTTCTCTCCTGAGACACCAGACGAGACGGCGGCGCGGTTGGCGGTCACCGGGCTTAAAAAAAGCATATTGCGTCGGATTCCCATCGTGATATATGGGACTGGACTAAATATAGCTGCCACGGATTGTCCAATTTGCCTTGGAGAATTTATGGACGGGCAGAAAGTGAGGCTGCTGCCGAAATGCAACCACGGATTTCATGCCAGGTGCATTGACACATGGTTTTTGTCACATTCGTCGTGCCCGACTTGCCGCCATTCGTTGCTTGAGCCGCCGGCTGCGGGCAGTTCGGATTCGGCCGAAAATGTTGGTGACGGTGGTGCTAGACATGCTGGAAATGTATCCTCAGGTGGACAAGGTGATGTGGCAGTCTCTGTTGATGAGGCTGGCTAGCTTGTAGAATGCTATATTTTTGTATTGTATTTGTGGATTAAGGGTAAATTTTAGTTGTATGAGATGCTAGGCAATGTACTTTCATGTATCCTGATATACTTCTTGTAGTATTATAAGCTAATCATATTGTAATATGATTAAGTTAAGGACAATGATCGTCTGTCATCCACTTCTGGTGCCCTCTCCGTGCCCTCCTGTTTTGTGTGGTCACGGTTAAGCCACGTCAACATTTTATTTTGTTTTTTTTATAGATATAATAAGACGAAAATGAATAGTAATATAAAATGTTGACGTGGCTTAACCGTGACCACGCAAACATGAGAGCACAAGTAGGGCACCAAAAGTGGAGGGCAGTCAATCCTTGTCCTTAAGTTAATACGAATAGCAGTGTATGATTGGTTAATCAGATACCGTAATAATTGCATCCTCGTAAGGTTCTCTATTGTACATGGGAATGTCAAATTATAATTAATAATTGATGTGGTAATCTAAAGTCTTATGTCAAATTTTGTGTTTCTTCAATCATATTGTCAAATATTATTTTCTTATTAACGAAGAGCTTTAAATGGTTGAATTTATTAAAAAAATTGTTGAAACAAAATTTTTATTTGCCGAAATTTTAGTAGAATAAGGAATTCACTATTAAACTAACACAAAATAAAGGGTAATGTTAGGAAAACTAAATTTCTAAACTAAACTTGCAAACCAAATGATGTGTCACCAATATGATTGAGCACATTAATCAACGCTTAAGTAGTAAACCAATTATCAACTTCCATGTCCTTTAGTTTCCAAAATTTAGTCTCCCTAACATTATCCCAAAATAAATTTAATGTTGATGTCAAATTTAATTCTTAATTACAGAAGCTTCATATCCAATCAGCAAATAATACTTCTGTTGGAAAGATTTTTGAAACATGCATAGAGGCATTTCCGCCTAAGATTTGACAACACCTTCAGAGATGCTCTAAAGGTGTAAATTCTATTCTTGGGCAAGTCCCATGAAAAGGTTTCAATTTCAAATCACAACAAAAAAATTATTTTTAGAACTGGTCTGGTGTTATTTATTTTATATTTCAATGTGATAAGTCTACTGTTAATCCTCCTCGTGATGTTAAAAGACGTCTCAAGTGTAAATCTCCCTCCCTCATTTGTAGAAAACCAATAGTAAAAGTTATAAGGTACAGAAATGGAAGCTAATGAAAACATATGCATGTTTACTTAGGGAAGAAGATCCTCTCCTGAGCTCAGGATGTGAATCCTCCTGACCAGCTTATCTGAACTGTTTAAGTTTAATCCAACGGTTGCAATTATTATAACTTTTAAAGGACCCTTCTGTTTGGAGTTGTTGAATTAAATTTGAACGACCCAAATGAGCTGATCAAGAGGATCCCCATCCTGAGCTCAGGAGAGGATCCTCTTCCTTTCCTTAGCCGCATTTTCCCTGTTTGATTTGATGGGCAATTGTATATGGAACACAAGGAAAAGGCATCATCATTTCTGTGCTCACAGAATGGAATCACGAACTCTCTTTTTCCCCCCTTTCTTCACCTTTTATTTGCCCACAAGTCAGCAGTTTGATTCCTGCACTACCTCATTTCAAACCCATGTTTTCAAGCAATGGGGAGTTGAGGGCATCTTCTTAAGCATCATTTTATCACTGGACCATCATCCCCTCTTCTTTCGAACCTGATTGATATCAAACGTACCTATCTCCAAAGATTACTACCCATCCCCTCACTAGATATGTCTCATGTTGGGCCTGTTGTGGAGGACGTTAAAGCGTTAATGACTGGGATCACTGAAGCTTTTCCTACTCATATGCGTCGCCAAGCCTTTGTACTACCCTCTTCAGCGGTTCACTTTGTTCATGGTTTGAGGAACCACCAGACCTCATCACTGATCCTCTTCTTGAAGAGTGTATTGGCTTGTTTGGCTGATGTTTCAGCCTTTTGTTGCACTACTTTCATATATTGACTTGGTTCTTTTAAGGAATGAAATTCTCTACCCTTTCAATTGAAAAAAAAAATTTAATTTACTGCCAAGTCAATATTTGGTATTGAAACTCGAGGAACGCTATTATGAAATACTAGTTACTTATCGGTGTTTATATGCGATAAATTATTAAATTTAACAATAGAATGTCCTTAAATAATATAACAAAGTTAAGTAGGTGGATCAAAGTTACTTTTGAAAACAATGTATATTTAGACTCGGGTTTCAATCCTTTGTGGCAATTTCTTTTGAGAATTTTAACGAAAAGCCCACAGTACTGTTCACTTTAACGAAAAACCACATTTTTACACTAAAAAGTCAAACCTTGTACTATTCATTTTACCTTTTATTTTGTCATTATTAAAATTTAAAGTTTTCAAGCATTTTTTTTATTAGTTTTTCTATTTCTTTTAGGTGTGCACTAAAAGTGTCCAATATTATGTTTATGTAGTGATCCACTAGCCATATATGATTAGTACATCGAATAAAGGACATGAAACGTACCGATAAGGTACGTTTAAAGCTCGTCACGTATGACCAATTGGATCCTTGTTCGTATGGTAGTGGACTTAGTGAGTTGTGTTGTCATGGACGATTTGTATTCTTTTATTTAGGAAGAGGGAATTTGTTAGAATGCGTATTTTTAGAAGATTTTTTAGTCAAAATGATTTCGGGTCCGTTCACCATCAATTATTTTGGATTTTATGTAAAAAAAAAAATTCATTAAATAAAATAAATGAAAATAAAATTCTCTATTTTTGTCAAATCATTTTGGCCAATTACTTAATAAATTGAGGTTATTTTTGTCATTTTGATCCTTATTTAACTAATTTTTCACGGAATGACCAAAATAATTAATGATGGACAAACTCAGGAACCACTTTTATCGGTTTCAAACATTAGAGATCAAAGTGATGAATTATGTCAATTTGACACACCATTTTGGCTCAAAAGCCTTTTTAGAAATAAGTTTATAAATTACTTGTTTTAATTTTGAAATTTATATTAGGAACTTATGTTGTATTTTCTGGTCCGACCATATTAGGTATTGGCAGGAGGTGGCTTATCTTTTGCATGTAGTAGCATGACTACGAGGTGTTCCATTAAGTTTAGTTTCTATCTTCCTAGCTTTAGTGCCGCATGAACCAACCAATTAGAGACAACCTAGTTTTGCCGGCTCCTTACTACCATGGGACAATACTTGTGTATTCACTGGGATGTGCTCAATTTACTGACTATCCGGTAATGAATTAAATCTTGTCGTTAGTATTACGCGATGTAGTGATATTTTTCTATACTCGTAGGCCGATTTTTATTCAAGTCTTGAAGATCATATGGATATGGTTGATAATGAATTAAATCTTGTCATTAGTCTTATGATATAGTGATATTTTTCTGCATTCGTAGGTGGAAGACAGGAAAGTATCAAGTTTGCCTTTGAACATCGAGTTTAATACCTAATTATCGTTGACTCTTGGCTTTAGCCAAAATCATCCTTAACAATCATTGTATAAAAAAAAACAGAAGTTAATTCTTGGGCTCACGTGTCGGACTTGGTCCAAGGTCCAACTCGGCCCGTATAAGGCAGGTGGGGCTGAGACTTTGAAACTGAAGTCGGCTCGGCCCAAAATAGTCCAACTCAAGCCCGACCCGAACACGGATTTAGGCCCAGAAGCCCGGCCCATTTCCTAATCAACAATGTTATATTCGTATTAGTGATCATATTATTCGACCTCTATAAGCAAGATGATCAACAATGTGCTACCAATAAGTTTTCTTGATATTAATCATCAGATTTTAAGAGGTTTGAGGACAAATAGAGGATGGATTAGTCATTTTCAATGGTGAGGATCTAGTTCTCCTTCACGAGAGAGATTTACCTATATTAGGTACGTCACTGTGACAGTATTTCAAATTAATAACCCATTTTCATGTATGCTTTTCATGAATTGAGATCACCTCTAGATCTCACACTCCAGAGCCCATGAATCAGGCAATCCAGAGCGTTCAAAAGAGAGAGAGAGATTATGTGTTAGGTGAGCCAATTCGATGACTAATGAGAACTGTAAAACTTAAATTGAACGGTCTAGATTGCTTGGTTCGGAGGCTCCCGAGTATGAGATCCGGAGAGGATCTCAATCCGTTTTCCATAAGCACAAGACATTGAACAGCCAGAACTCTATATATAATCGATTTTATTACATAAAACAGCACAAGAAACAGCAGGTTTTTCCACTTAACAAACTTCAAAAAGAGCCTTGCAATTTCAAATCCCCAGAACAACAGATTCAGTTAGTCAACTCACTTGGTCAACTCAGCCGAGAGAGTGTTGGCCAAGGAGGAGATGGTCGACGGAGACACCCCTCTCGTCCCTCCCAAATACCATTTCTTGATATTCTCCACCACATTTGCATTCTCCACTTTGATCTTTGACTCTTCCTTCCCTTCAGTGCTAAACACAATCTGCATCCACACAAAAGTACCAAGTACAAATTAAACAACAGCTAGAAACGATTTTTAACCACCGCAATTTATATCAAAAGTTTTAACGAAACATTTCCGATACTGTTCACTTTTAACAAAAAATAACATTTTTACCTTTTTCTGGTACCATTCACTTACACCTTTATTTGTTATTTTTCATTAAAACTAAAGTTTTTAAGGATTTTTCGTTAGTTTTCCTATATCGTATATTGTTTTGTCAAGTTTCCGATGTAACATGATTCTGTACCTCAGCAGTGTTAGAAGTTGCAGGAAAATGGAATGTGATGACGGAGTCCTTCTTGAAGTACTTTGATTGGAAGAACTCAACAACTTTCTCCAAGGTTTCCTCCTCCTCTTCCTCATATTTGTCATCAGCTGCCAATCTGTCCCTCACTGCACTCTCAAGCTGCACTCCATATTGTGACCCTTTGATCTCCTTGATCACCACAACCCTAATGAATTTCTCGACAGGAGCTACATGCAACACACAGTTCGATCAAGGGACGAATTGGGTTAACTTAAAACTCGACAGATATTTTAAGCTACTCTAATTTAGAGCGGCACGACACATTACCCTGACCGACTAGCACGACAGGTATTTTAATCTACTCTAATTTAGAGTCGCACGTCACACTACCCTGACCAACTGGCACGACACGCGTTTATCAAATTGGTATTAGCCAAATAAAATATGAAAGCTAAAGATTGAAACTTTACCAGAAACAAGAGCATCAAAGAAGTCATCATCTTCTGCAAGTTCATTTGCCTTTTTGGCCTTCCATTGTTGAAGATGTGACACAATTTCAGCATCCAGGTAAACCCCAATTGCTGTGAACTTAATTTGAAGAAAGTGAATCTCTATGTCGGTAATTCCTGCAAAAATCCCAATTTACCCATCAGTAATTTTTTTGATTTACTTAACTTAATAAACCCAGATATGTAATTAATTAGCATGTATAAGATGAAGGCTTTACCTTGACCCAGCAGAGATAAAGGCTTGGTGGTTGTGATCTTAGAAGGAAAAGGGACCTCATCCACCAATACAACTTCAGTGCCCACTGCAAAACACAAAGATTAAAAATTTAGTCATGAAAAATCCACAAAAAAAATATAAAAAATAAATGAAAAATAAATGGGATAATAAGCATTAGAGGGGGTATGATTAGCAATTTAGCAGAGAGGCAGGGAGCTCTTACTCTTACTGGCTTTGTGATTTGGGGGTATGATTAGCAGGAAGCTGGGGAGATGGAGGGAGGAGGTGGAAATGTTTGTCTGAAAAAACAATGAAATTGCATGTAACTGATGTTTGAAGGCTGTATATATCTTGGGGTGTGAGATTTTCAGCTGACAATTGCCTTCCAGTCTTGGCCAAGTGGTAGGTGGTACTCTTGTGGAGGTTGTTAAAGCTTGTGATCACATCTCACTTTCTCCAACTTAACTTTGCAATTGAGAAAATGATGGTGTTATTCACGTCTCTATTTTTACTTCTTACATATATCTTTTAATTTTCGATCGTCGGATTGAATAAATTGGAAAAAAATAACAAAGATGTGTAGAATGTGAAAAACGGTGTATGGATAGCACTACCCTTGTAAAAATTCCAATGTCAAACCCAAATTTGATTAGAAATTTAGATAATTTGGGGTCTTTTGTATGGTAGTGGAATACGAACACATGTCATGACCAATTCACTCGCATTAAAACACATAAATTGCTTGTGGAGCCTAAAATAATTCAAAAAATTCTAGAGGCTACACATGAATTTTTGCTTAAGAAAGACAAGATTGCCCTCAGTAAGTGGGCGAGCTCCTCAGATACTCCCACGCGCAGCTCACACCCCTGAAGGTCACCAACAGCTGAATACGACTGCACACAACTCACCTGCCATTGGTAAAGAAAAGTCAAAACATTAAAGATAAGGATTAATTACCCAAATTCTATCTTTAATATATTCCCAATTGAAGATTGACTTCATTCAAATAAGTAATCCTTATTTAAATCAATTAGGGATAATTACTCCATTATCTCATTATATTATTTCCTATTTAATATCTTGATAATATTTCTTCATAAACCTTGACCAATATGATGCAACCATGTGTAGGGTAAAACCCTAACACTATGGCCGGCTCTCTCCTCCTATATATACCCCATATTCTACCAAATTTCGGTAAGCTTTTGCTATACCTAAAAGCCCTAAACACTTTACTCTTCTCAGATAAACTAACTTAGGCATCGGAGATCCATTGGCCTAACCCCCACCCCCCCACCCCCCTCACCTCGTGGGCGGGTGAGGCTTAGGTCCTTGATTAAATGTGTTGATTGTTTTGCAAGTGCATTTTCATCAAAACTAGATATGACAGAAATTTGCATCGACATTGCTTATTTATGTTATACGTCAAAGCAAATCTACCAGTTATACCTTATGATTCTGTTTAGTTTTATATGATAAACTTTCCATGATTTGGATTACTTATGCCAATAAATGAGCATGCAATGAGCTAGTAAGGAGCTTGCAATTAGTTAAAAACATTCATCTTTGTACCCTATGTTCCGAGTTCGCATCCCCCTCTACTTTTATACTTATAAAAGAAGACATAAAATGAGTTCAAACTATTCAAAATGTGCTTCATAAGAAATGGATTGTGAGATTTATCCTCCCAATTTCCATACAGCATGCATGGATACATTAACACCAAGAGTGTGTCACTTGGTTTGCAAGGTACCAAGATAGCCACTTTTCATAGTCCATATTCTTTTCCAAAATTTGCTGACAAGTCCTCAATATTTACGACCTTTTCAATTAAGAATTTAGTTGGAGGGCCTCCAGCTACCCACGTGTGCAACAGTTCAAGTTTTGCGTCGACCGTTCCTTCTACGGTCTACCTACCCGTCCTTATGAATCAACATCATATACCGTCCACCTTCCTGTGAACAGAAGGGCAAATAGGATATAAAATATATTTGATTTCGTCTGGAAGTATTTTTAAAATAACCAAAAATCTTTTAGTGAAAATATTTTTGGAACCGATCATTAGTAAAAACGTAAGTGAATTCTGAAGCAGCACTTAAAGTGCTTCATGAAAGAAACACATAATTTCTCTAAAAATGTTTTCTATCTTTTTAAAAATACTTTCAATCGGATGCTTTATTTTTTTCTATTTTATTTTTGGACATGGATTAGAATTTGATTTTTTTTACATGCACCTATGACCTACCAATTGCAACAATATTGTTGTGTGCGATTTTATGGTAGCCCACGCTTCAAGATAAATGTTTCCGCATTCGGCCCATCCTTGGGCTAGTTTGGTATCCCATACCAACCCTTAGATAGGCCTCCACATTGTTACAGAAGCCCAATAGCATTGCCAAATGGCGGGCTGAATCGGCTGGTCCCTAACAATACCAATGAAGCAACTTATTTGGAGTGACAAATTCAGATACAATACCTTATAGAAATTGAAATTATACAATTATAAAATGACTACCTGACTAAGGACTAGTTTGAGGTTACTTAAGTTTTTTTAAAAGCAACTTCTTAAAAAATTTAGACTCTTAATTGTATTTGGTAAATGAAAAATAATTTTTTTTTCTTTTCAAATTCATGCGTCCAAAATAGCTGAAGCAGTTCTACACATGCTTCTAAAAAAAAAGTTTTTTTTAAGAGGCAGATGAACAACACCAATTAATAAAACTTTCACATTGATAATTCTACCCTCATCTTTTTTTTGCTAAAAGCACTTTTACCAAACACTTACCGGCCTTTTTTACAGCTGTTTATTCTCAGAGCAAAACATGAACAGTTTTGAAAAAAACACAGTAACCCCAATCTAGTCCTAACTCTATTAAAACAATATTAATATTGTCTAACATGATTTCAAATGTACATGATCAAACGTTGTTTGCACCAATGATCATCGGTGATGTAAACAAAGTAGTGCCATACGATCATGACATATGACAAATAAGGTGTCATTTTTTTTCTTCTGAAAATCATCATCGATGGCAGACAAGAGAAATGGACAATATTATTGGATCATTTGCCTTGGCAATGGTATCTCTGGCCGAAGCATGAGATTTCCAACTTTATTCCTTGGCAAATTTTCGTACAATCCAAGATTCCCTCATTGGGCCCATCCTTAGATAGGCCTCCACATTATAACAGAAGCCCAATAGCATTGCCAAATGGCGGGCTGATCCCTTAAAATTCCAATGAAGCAACTTATTTGGAGCGAAAATTTCAGATACGATACGGTATAAGAATTGAAATTTATCTAAATATAAAACGAGTATGTGACTAAGGGCTGGTTTGACGTTACTTAAATTTTTTTAAAGCAGGTTCTTAGAAAAGTTGAGGCCTTACTTTTGTTTTGGTAAATGAAAAAAAACTGTTTTTTTTTTCTTTTCAAATTCATGGGTCCAAAATAAGAGAAAACATAAACAGCTCTACACATGCTTCTAAAAAAACGTTTTTTTTAGAAGAGGTAATTGAACAATACCAATTAATAAAACTTTCATATTGGTAATCGTACCCCCATTTTTTTTGCTAAACCCACTTTTAGCATTATAATTTATCAACACTTGCATTTTTTTTTTCACAGCGGTTTATTTTCATAGCATAATAAAAATAGTTTTGTAAAAAATACAACCACAATCTAGTTCTAACTCTATTAAAACAATATTAATATCATTTAACATGATTTCAAATGTACATTATCAAACGTTGTTTGCACCAATGATCATCGGTGATGTAAACAAAGTAGTGCCATACGATCATGACATATATATGACAATTAAGGTGTCAATTTTTTTTTTTTCTGAAAATCATCATCGATGGCAGACAAGTGAAATGGACAATATTATTGGATCATTTGCATTGGTATCTCTGGCATGAGATTTCCAACTTTATTCCTTGCCAAACTTACGTACAATACAAGTAGAAGGCTCTTTAGTTTCTTTCTTTTATGCTTGACGACCTTCTCATATATATATTAACATGCACATCATATGCTTATTAAAAATTCAACCTTAACGGGACTTACTTGGAGCGTAGCGTTAAGCACTCTTAACTGCTTGAACTGCAAAGGTTTACGGAACTCCCTAACCATCTTCTTCAATTCAGTAAACATTAATAATGGAACTCTCTTTACTACAGTTTATCACAGTTTCAGCATTAACCCTAATAGCCATTTTTGCTGGATATTTCAAGTTTAAAACTTCATCTTCTTCCCTGTGCAAGAAGCTTCCACCAGGGTCATTTGGTCTTCCTCTCATTGGTGAGTCCATAAGCTTCATTAAGGCACAAAAGCAGGACAAAACTGGTGAGTGGATCCAAACCCGAATCCGCAAGTATGGACCCGTGTTCAAAACCTCACTCATGGGCTCCAAAACAGTGGTTTTTACTGGCCAAGCCGGAAACCGGTTTGTGTTCAGCGGAAGTGACAATGGTATTGCAGGCAACCAAGTCGCAAGTGCAGCCAAGGTTTTGGGAAAGCACAGCATCTTTGAGCTTTCAGGGTCTAGGCACAAACTTGTCAGGAATGCACTGATGAGCTTCTTAAAACCAGAAAGCCTTCAGAGATTTGTGGGTGAAATCGATTCTCTAGTGCAAAAACAGTTGTTTCAGGTAGCATATGTGTTAGCTAGCTTGATACACTATTTTGTTTAAAATTAACATGAAGGAATATTCGAACTCGAAACCTCTTTCAAATTAGATGCAACCAAATGCTAGTTAACGTGATATGCATTGTTGCTTCTAATTGCAACGTCGTGGACTAACGCAGTTTGCTTAGCTTTCTTTTAAAAGAATTGTTACTGTTAAGGAGAGGGAATAGAGTTCGAAACTATTATACAATATTAGGAAATGAAGAGTTTCTAACCCAGGACGCATGATGAAAATCCAACACCCTATTTATTAGATATTGGACAACATATATATGCAACGCAATTTACTTAATAACTTTTGACTTATCATTATACAGGAGCTAGATGGCAAGGATTTGGTACAAATGGTGGTTTTGATGAAGAAAATAACATTCAAGGTGACCTGCAGTTTGTTTTTTGGACTACCAGAAGGGCCAGAGAAAGATGCATTGCTTGAAGATTTTACCATTGCCACCAAGGGTTTGTGGGCAGTTCCGTTGAACGTTCCGGGGACCATATTTTACAGAGCCATGCAGGCACGTGCCAGGATATCACAGGTCCTCACAAAACTCATGCAAAATCGACAAAAGGAAGAGAAAAACAAGCCCTCGCAAAAGAACGACATCATCTCAGTGTTCCTCCGTTTGAGAGATGAAGATGGTAAGCCTCTCCAAGAGGAGGAGATTCTTGACAATTTCATCACTCTGATAATTGGTAGTCATGACACCACCACAATTCTCCTCAGCCTTTTTATAAGACACCTTTCCACAGACCCCAAGACTCGTAGTGAGGTGCTTCAAGGTAATGAAACTTTGATATCTAATTAATTATTTCAAACATCGTGAAATCTTAACTACTTGAATTATTAAACTACAAATTAGTTGCAGTACAAAATTACATGTTAAACTGAGGATTATGATTGCGTCCTCTCACTTACGATTAACAAATATTTACAGTATGAATATAATAAGGGATGTGATATCCACACACCCTTTTTTACTTCTCTCACACCCTTTTAATTTTCGGCCGTCCGATCGGATGAATTGAAGAAGATCAAAGGACAAAAATTAACAAGGGGTGTGGGAGAAGTAAAAAAGGGTGTGTGGATAACACACCCCTATAATAATTGGTACAGTTCATTCTTTTTATTATTATTTTCTAGATGTCAGATCTGCCAAAAATCATTTAATTTGGAGATTCTTTGATCATCCATATGTGTTAAACTAATCAACAGTTTTGGTAACAAGTAGCATCTGTATGATAAACCATCCATTTGTTTTATGTATATGAATGACTAAAAGATCTCCAAATTAAATAATTTTTTGCATATATGATCTTTAAATGATGTTTCGATTATAATGTTAAAATTTTGTAATGGTAAGTCAGGGGACAAGTAAGTTTTCCCATGGGGAGGGACACTCACACACGCATTATCCTTAAAGGGAATGCTTTTAAAAAAAATAAATAAAAATAAATAAAAATAATAAAAATTAAATATTAAATATTCTTAACTACTTGAACTGTGGAGCTACGAATAAGTTGCTACATAACATTACAAATAATGCAGAATGCTCTTAACTTATTAAACTATTAACATTATAAATCAGTTGCTATAAATCAATTGCGGTATAATAGTACATATATTATGAGGTTGAATACCCTTAACTACTTGAAAAAAAACTGGGTTACGGTATAAATATTTGGCATGATGAGATATGGTTAGTAATTTGATGTGCACGTTATATACCATGACAGAGCAAGAAGAAGTAGTGAAGGCTGTGGAAGCAAGGGATGATGGAAAGCTTAGATGGAGTGAAATCCAAATGATGAAGCACACATGGAGAGTGGCCCAAGAGCTCATGAGATTGACCCCTCCAGCTTTGGGCAACTTCAAATGTGCTTCAAGAGACACATCCTTTGATGGCTTTGATGTCCCCAAGGGATATAAGGTACTATACAAGAGCTAAGAACTTCGTTGATATCATGTGTGATACATTGTCTCGTATTAGTTTTGAACTCAGAACTTCGTCGAACAAAAGTTTATCGCACGTTATGATCACAGGTTTTTTGGGTGGCATCTGCAACACACATGGACGACAAGATATTTGAAGATCCAAACAAGTTTGATCCATCACGATTCGAGAGTTCATCAAAATCATCATATCCACCGTACACGTACATTCCATTTGGAGCAGGTCCACGGATTTGCCCCGGGATAGAATTTGCAAGAATTGAAGTGTTGCTCATCATTCATCACCTAACTAAGAATTATTCTTGGACATCAATAATCAAGGACGAACCCGTAAGACGTGAACCACTGCCCTACCCAGCCATGGGACTTCCAGTTAAGCTTCATAAAAAATAACTATATGGAGTTCCGAGCCAAGAGACGTAACCGTAAGAGTTAAGTGGTTAAGAGAATTCACTCTTAACTTATCACATATCATTTTTATCTTGTCACACACTCTTATCTATTTATAAACATCAGGTTGAATGAGCCAGAAGTAAACTACAAACATAATTAAATTAAAATGTGTTGACGGATAAAAAGAATGTATTTATCATTTCCCTTTTTATATATAAAAGGCACCATGCATGTGTTAATGCCATAATTTAGAGCTTTGATTCATTCAGGTACTGTTTGGTATGTGGGATGAGACGGGACAAAACGGGACGAACCGTTCTGTCCCACGTTTGGTGCGCCTAAAAACTGTGGAACGGGTTGTCCCATGGGACGAAATTTGACTGATTTTTCGTTCCACCTCTTCCCTCTGGACCGACTCGTTCCACATCCGTGGAACATAAATTTATAACATTTTATGACAAAATTTCTCCTTATCTTTTTCAATATTTACATCATCTGTTCCGTCCTATTCGATCATGTCCTGTCCCGTCTAGTCCCGTTTACGTACTAAACGATACCTCAAAGTCTTGGTCAATAGTCCATCATATGGGTCTTATTTGAGGGGATTGACTAAATTCCTTGAAGCACCCACCCACATGCAGCCTTCTTTCAAGAGTCAACTTTCAACTACTACATCAATATTAGAGTACTGTTTTTAATTTTGTCATGCTTTTCTTGTGTTGTAATTATCTGACGTATGGGAACTTTATATGTCATGTCCAAAATCAAGATATTAAAGAGGTAGACACACAACGTGATGCAATAACTAGCACATACGTTGTTACTCTCGTAATCTAAGAACTTTCAACCTACGTTATATATCGTTACAATTAAATTAGAATTCAGCGAGAGACCAAACTAAGAGGTTGAATATTTTTTTAGTATGCTTGTTAAATTGTCACGGTGTTACATCATTCAAAGATAGAAAACGTATATGAAAAAAGAGTTGGATTCCACCTTAAAATCAATTAGTAATATAAGAAGTAGTCAAACCTTTTATAAGGTCATGCAGGTCCCACCTTCCATCAATGCGGGATTCATATCAATAGTATAAACTCATCATTTATATATATATCACAATATATATGGACTTGTTTAGATGTGCTTTCCAAATGACTGAAACTAGTTTTAGCAAAAATATTTACTCTGTCTACGCGGAGATATAAATCCCAACTTCATGGGACACGAAATGATCCCAATTTCATGGGACACGACCGTAAATCAGCCATAGAAATAAATTATGTTGGGGTCGTACAGTTTGAGGCCAATGGAAAAAACAGACGCATTAATTCCAGGTGGATTTACTCTGTCTACGTGGATATATAAATCCCAACCGCTGTGCCAACGTGTCAATTCTCTCTGGATTCATTGGCCGAGCTTTCCACGGAGCGGATGTCCGGACTGTGCCACCGTCCGAACTCCATGCACTTTCAACGCGCCACGTCCTCCCAGTCGCCAGATGGGACCCGTCCAACCACCCTTTTCATTACAAAAAGGTCCAACACCCTTGATCTGACAAGAAGTCATCACAACCAACGGCCCGGATCAAAAGACTGCGTTCCACGCCAAGAATTCAAACCCCGCGTCCACGTGCACCGCGCGGGGACGGAGCATCCGAGCACGCGCCCGCTCGTGCCGAACGAAATAACGATTCGGAAATTCCGAATCGTCGCCCTTTTAACCGACTCTTTTGAGTCCAATCCGGACTCGGAAACGTGGAGATTATTTTCCAAGCACCAGTTTTGGATTTGGATTCCAACTCCGCCGCGTATATAAGAGAAACAGCTCCAGCTTCCACCACAGCAACAACCTGACTCGGATTCAAAGACGTCGGCGGCAAGAAAACGTTTTCGGAAAACACTGGTTTTTGATCGGACGACGCAGTTTCTTCTGTGATTGGGAATGGCATCGGTTGGAATCCAATTCGGAGGTAATAACAGCGCCGTTCTTGATCATCGCCGTCAGAGCAGTCTTTGCGTTTGCAGTCCTTATTCCAATCGGAGCGTGTCGATGATCCGTGGATCCGGGGGGAAAAGAGGAAATTCGGTAGTGGCGATGGCGCGGGCGGGATTGGAGGCGGTGGGGCGGGAGCGGAGGCGCGGAGGTGGAAACGGGAGCGAGGCTGCGGCGGCGGCGTATGATAAGTTGGATGAGTGGATGAGGGGGTCGGTGGTGGAGATCGTCCAGAATCTCCGGGAGGCGCCGCTGTTGGTCAATGTGTACGGGAGGAGTAGTACGGACGGTAGGCCGAGGCTGGAGACGGAGAAGCGGGTGGAGGAGGAGAATTGGGACGGGCTCAGACGTAAATGGGAGGCGGGAGCGGCGCCGTTTCCCGACGGCGTTATCTTCGTCGAAGAACTGAACGACAACGATAACGGTGGCGGTGAGTGTAACGGTAAAGATGACGGAGGGGATGCGATCACGAAAGCGTGGGGGTTAGTGGTGCAGGGGAAGGGGAATGAGAGTGGGCCCGCCTGTTACTTGTTGAAGACGAGTAAAGTCAATAACGGGTCGGGCTTCGGGCTCGGTATGGGCTTGGGCTGCACCCATTTCTGTTTGGTTCCGGTCAGCAGTTTCAGGGAGAAGGCCCAATCGCAGCTGAAGAATTGTTGGTTGTTGCAGGCCTAGGCCCAATAATGCTAATTCACATCCCCTTCCAACTCATTTGTAAATTTATACCAAATTGATTGATCTCCTCCTACAAGAAAGCAAGAAAAAAGGGAGAATAATTTATTTAAGTTGAATCATTTAGTTCATGATTTATAATTGTACAACCCATCAAGAAGAAGGAAGCAATTTATTAGAATCTCGTTTTATTTGTTTGTTTGTTTTAAAGTTTAATTATATTTGAATTTACGGGGTCTATTCAATTAAGATTTAGGTTTTTCGTAAACTTTTTCTGAAGTATTTTTTCCTATGTCGCACTTTGATCTTCTTTTTTTTTAAGTTTTGTTCTACACCTAAGATGTTAAATTAAACTATTCAAATTTGACAGCAACTACATTTGTTGCCAATCCACGTGATGCAATGTAAAAATTGGCATATCAGTTGGAAAATATTAATACTGTTATTGCTGATGTGGACATTTTGACATATGCGTTGGAGAAACTCTAAGCATTCTTTGTGCTACAAGATTGGAATTATCTTACATTTTTGCAAGTAGTTTAAGGTCGACTAGACATGACCAATAGGATCCTCTCTAGATCATTTTGTTGAGAATGTCAGGTATTGTTTGTATTTAATTTTAAATATAATGTCAAGTACTGTTTGTATTTAATTTTAAATAAAAATATTTAAAATAATTTTTGACAGTACGATATACGATGAACATATATGATTCATATATTTTCAGGATCCTCACAAAGAGAATCAGGATTTTAGACATGATTGTTTGTGACTTTACTTGCTTCAATTGGTGATGGGTTGTACAAATATTTGATAACCATGAAATGCTTTTGAGATATTGTGGATCATATTGCTAGACCTTTCCCTTATCCGAACATTAATTTATTATTATTTTTACCAAAAAAAATATGATATTATCTTTTCTGCGTGTG